ACTATGCTAATTTCTGATCTTGGAAAACAAGAACAGTGAATATTTCTAAAATATCCATTGGGCTAATCTTCTAACATTACAGGTGCTCACTTATAGTTAACATCATTAAAGTACTTACAGTTCTCTGGAGAATTCTGGAGTATTTTGCTCTTTATTTTCTTGCTTTCAGAATTTGTGTTGTATCCCTAAGGTAAAAATAATTTGGTTTTGGTTAATTGAATATTTTATTGTTCTTGTTATTTAATATATTTGCTGAAATCGCAGCATATATGTTAAAATACACAATACTTTTTTATCTTTTTACATAAGGATTTCAAAGTTGGCTTAAGAAGCTAGAGGTCAAGATCCTGTGACAAGGTTATACACTGATTTTATGAAAAGTAAATTATGCCTTCTACACTAAACTATTTCGATGAGAAATTTAAATTGATATTAATCCAGACAGCTATTTTTGAAGGCATATTAGACTAAATAGTTATTAAAGAAAAGTACACAATTGTTAGTAAATTAAATAGTGCTAAATGAAGTATCAATATGCTTATTATAAATCAACATTATACATACATGTTACTTTTGAATTTGATATTTTTCACTAATATTTCAAATACTTAAATATATTATACATAATTATTTATTTTTTAGAGACTAATCAATTCCTAGCTATAACTTAATACAATTCTATGACACAGCACAAAGCTAGGTCACAGCTTATTGTTGTTGCTAATATTGTGAGCTAGGAATTGAACAGGGGGTTGACTCCATGGCTCAAGCTGAAGTACAAACATGTTAAACCCTACTTTAAAATTGTCGATAGATAGTTACTAAAGATAAACACAGATCTTTTGTTTAAAAGTATGAACACTTTTTAAAAGTATAAACTTGTGGATAAATATAAATTTCACTAGGTAAAGATTAATGTAAACACTCTCATCTACCTTCATTTTAACTACACAAAATTCCCACGGGGGTTTCGGAAAAGCAGCACTTAAGATTTATTGGTGTCTCCAGGTCTCTTTCACATTTTAAAAGTTTTTTTTTTCTCTTAATCTTTCAGGGCTTCATATCTAACTTATTAAGAGATAATAGAGTATATAAACACTGCCCTAATGACGGTTTTAAGTATAAAATAAGATAAACCAAAAGGCAGTTTAGTATTTCATGCATTTAATGATTAAATAAGAATCACAAAACTAGATTATAAGTGTTTTAAAGTATTCATGAAAAAATTTAAAATTAGACCTGACAAGGAGCAATAAAAAGATATTTCCATGTTGCTTCTTGCTTGGCATCCTCACTTACAATATTCATCGCATTTGTATGAGCCTCATTGGCTGAGATTTTTCCTCTTTCTACTGGTTGGTTGGCACTTTGTCTCATCACTTTATATGTCTGTTTACTGAAGTGACAAAGTACTACAAAAATGTAGTACTTCATGAAAAGTATAACACGTTTTCTGAAGTCATTATTAAAAGCATGTTTTTGTCTAATTTTTTATATTGCTAGATGGAATGAGCATTATTATAGGCACTTAGAATATGCTGTTATGCAGATGAGTATAAAAAAGTAAATTTGTGATTTCCATATTGGTCGAATGCCCAGCCACCCACCTTAGAGAGAACTCTGATTACAAGTGCCATTTTAACAACCAGTTCACCTAAATCAACAAAAAATTAGGTGTTAGTTCTGCCAAACTAGTGGGAAGTAGCTGAGTCCCACCATTCTATGCCTGTAGAGTGGTGGACTTGTCCATCAAAGGATTGGCCATCCAGGGAAGGAGTGCTGGTGGCACAGGGGTCAAGAGCTCAGTGACTGATCTACAGGTCAGATCAAAACCACCAGCGGTGCCAGGTGAACAAGGGATGTGGTCATCTCTTTCCTGAAAGCTGATGGCCTGGGGAAGCCTCTGAGGCCATGCGACTCTCCTCTTTGGGGTCACTGACAGAATGGACAGGGAGGCAACTGTTTTTTAACATCGAGGGCACATCATCAGGAAAGGCAGAGTGCACTCTAAAATGATGGCAAGCTCCATGACAACCCAGAAGGTAGATAGGCAAGGACATATTGTGTCGGCAGAATAGGAACTACAGCTGTTTAGTACAAAGTGTTGTTGACCAAGAAAGTTTACATAGGAGGCTAAAAGGAGGGGAAGAAGTAAGTTCTCCTTGAGAATATGTTTATGTCACTTCCTCTAAATAAAAATCATTGTGAATGAAAGCTGGACATGTGCTTTAGAGCTCCAGCTTTGAAAGCCCTTTATGGAAATTTTCATGATTTTATCCTTCTATTAACATGTACCTGTTGAAGAAGATCAAGGATTGTAGCCTTCAATCTTTTTATAAAATCAACGTATAGAAGACCAAAATCCTCACAACTAGACAAATAAGTAATATCATGATAAATGGAGAAAAAAACCAACGTTGTCAAAGATTTTGTCTAGCTTGGATCGACAATTAATGCTCGGGGAAGCAGCAGTCAAGAGATCAAATGATGCATTGCATTGGGTAAATCTGCTGCACAAGACCACTTATTATTAAGAAGCAAAAATGTTACTTTGAGGATTAAGGTGTGCCTGCCCCAAGCCATGATATTTTTCATTGCTTCATATGCTGATTAGAGTTAGACAGTGAATAAGGAAGAAGAACTGGTGTGTTTAAACTGTGCTGGTGAAGACAATTGAAAGTTATCCTGGACTGTCAAAAGGACAAACCTCTCTGTCTTGGAAGAAGTACGACCAGAGTGATCCTTAGAGGCAAGGATGGAGAGACTTCATCTCAGCTGCTTTGGAAATGTCGGAGGCATCCGTCTTGGCAGAAGGACATCATGAGTGGTAAAGGGAAGGGGCTGTGAAAGAGAAGCAGCCCCCCCCTCCCCCCGGAGATGGACTGGCACAGAGGCTGCCTCAATGGGTTCGAGCGTCGCAACAATTGTGAAGACGGCGCAGGACCAGGCAGTGTTTCTTTTGTTAAGCAGATAGGATAACTATTGGCCCGAACCGACTGGATGGGACCTAACACCCCCAGCACCACCAAGTCTGACTGGGACTCACTGGGCATTGTTAAAATGAACTGACATATTGAGATGAGAAAGAAAGGATGTTTTAGGAAAAAAAATTCTCTAATAGTTGGTTAGTCAAAAGTGAATGAATATGATATGCACTATATATAGGGAGAATATATACATTACCTAGATGATCTATGTACGTATTTTAAGCACATCGGGTAGAAGAAAAATAACAGCATATCTTTGCATACAAGTTCAATTTTTAGTTTAGAGAGCTGGAAAATTAAATTCTTCCCAAGAGTCAATATCAGGAATTGCTTTAATGAAATAAAGATGTCAAGAATTGCTGATTTGGTTTGACATGTTAGCAACTCATAAATGAAAAATTTCACAGTACTCGGGACAAGTACCTTATTACATAAGTCTTTGTCATTTTTAGCCTGCAAAAAAATTAAAATGAGAACCAAGAAAAGATGAAATATTAAAGAAAGAGTCATAATAGCCATGCAACTTATTTTTTTCTGAGCTCTTACCGTGTCTGTTTTCCACAGAACCACAGAAGCATTACCATGCCAGCAGCTTTAGCTATTGGCTCACACCAGTACTCAGCAGCAACGATATGAACTGACAGCTCTATTTCCAAAGCTGCATTTCCAGCATCTGCTCAATTGTTAAGCTCCAAGGTCTGCTTTCATTTCACTCCTACTTGAAACTCAACTGTTTTCTAGTAAAATCCTTTAGAAAGAGCAATGTGAAATGCACTTGGATTTGCCTGGCTGCCTCTTAAAATACAACTCTGAAGCACAATCAATTTTAGATAAGGTTTCTGTAGATAGTTTCAGGATTCTGGAACTGTTCTTATTAAAACAAACAAAATATACAAGATTCTATGGGCATCAACTAAGGTAAACTGACTGATAAAAAGATCTTGCAGAATAAATATGGGGGTAGAGGAATTTGACAGAAAACAAAGAAGGCGCTCCACTTAAATAATAAGAATACTATTTAGGTCAAGCATTATCATTTACCAAGAGATAAGTAAGCTTCCCAAAGGGACGGAGCAAAAGGATTAAAGATTTGTGTGATTTATTGAGCCATCTGTAGGGATTTGATTTCATTTTGGCTTTGCATGCATATCCATCACAAGGATGAATGGGCAAGACTGTTCCACTGTAGAAGACAACAAACTATTTACATTTTTAATTTTCAACTATGTGCTACATACGGGCACGTACCGTTCACTGGCTTTGTTTTTCCTGTTGGCTCCTTTTACTCCCCTTGATGTATAAATACATCTTTACTGTAGAGGGGAAATGGTGACAAGAGCATGTGATTATTTTGTACCCTTTCTGTTATTTATCTGGCTTTTTAGTAACGGAAATGGTATTGGAGGCATGACTCACAGTTTCCCTGTAATGGGGCCATGTACTTTTGTCTTTGTACAACCTTCTCACACACAGAAGCTGCTTCGATTTGTTTTACATATTTGAACTAAATATTCTATGTACTAAAACGAATAACGTGTGTGGGGGAGGGGAGGGGGCGGCTGCATGCGTATGCATCATCCAGTAGAGCTCAACTCACAATGACCCTTTCGGACAGTGTAGCACAACTGCCAAGTTGGATTTTTTTTTTTAATTGGCTGCACTCTTATTGGGTGGTTTTAATTCTGTTTTTAAACATCAAAACTGTAAGGTATTGATGGACTGATAGTTTTCTGTCTTGAATTTCCTCTCATTCCAACATTAAACTTACAGTTGGTGCATAGTTACCAGTGGGGTTGATGTGCCATTTTCTCAGTACACATATCAACAATCCTAAGGGATTTCATTAGATAGTTTTTGGCTTAAACTCTTATTCTTGTAACAACAGGCCGTCAGCAAGTAGAGATTACTTTGAAAAAGACACCCTATTCAGGTCCCTCCTAATGGAATGTAAGCTTTTAAAGAGAAAACCAAAGTTTTGCATGGCAAGTAAACACTTTGTATGATTCTGGATTAGATCTTAGGTGCAAAGGGGAAAATGAGCTATTTGGACAATATTGGGACAATGAATAAAACTTGAACATGGCTTATGACTTGGAAGAGGGTGTTGTATCTGATTGTATTTGATAACTTTTTATGTAATGTAAGAAAATGTTCTTAGGAAATACAGTCAACATACAACGAGACCTGCTTTTCCTTAG